CATCGCGCTTGAACACGAACCGCTCTCACGCTCTTTTTTTTGCAACATGTACATGACTTCATATTCACTACAGATAGAAAAATTCTGATTCAGATTACAAATGTTACATGGCACTTTTCACTTCACCATTCTGTGATTAGTCTCACCGAGCAATAAGCTTTTCGTTGCGTGAAAAAATAGGTGCCGTAAAAATTGGTTGTGGGACCTTTCAAGACAGTTGAAGACATCATGTGGGAATGTAGTTTAAGATAATTATTTAACTGCTTAACTAGTGAAGTTATGCAGTTATGTCAAATGGGAGAACTGTAATTCTCCATGCAACAAACGCATTGCTGCTTCAAGGTATAAAAAAAGGCAGCCTTTATTAATTACTGAAGCATAATGCGATTCAGGTAAATTCAACAGAAACTGATGCACCGATGAGCGCTGCAAGGAGACGACTAGAATGACGTCAGTGTTCAAGACAAGAACAGCCCACACACCCACATAACGAAGTCGGTTCATAATTGATGTAATAATGCTCATTCATTCTGGACGTCTCAGACATATGGCAGTTTCACTCTTCCGTCTTTCGGTTTCCACACAGAATTTTTGAGAAGTTCATTACTTTGCAATTATTACTAAAAGCCACTTTTCGAAATCTTAAAAGCCGCCAAGAGTTCTTCACATGAATTACTTGAATCCTCCTTTTTATCTAACTCTGCTAAATAAAAATTTATTTTGATTTTCTTAATTGCTGCCTCAAATGATGTCTTCAACTATCTTAACATGCCTCCTACTAGAGGAAAAGCCATTGTGATAACAGCGAGCAAATACTATATTCTCCTGATATTTTAAAGGATATTAGACACATTTCTTGATATGTATATTCTCACAATCTTATCATGACAGTGCACTACCGGAGGACTGGAGAACTGCTTCCATTATTCCAGTACATAGAGTCGGCGATAAAAACTCATCTAACTAATGTTCCATTAACTAATGTTCCATCTTGTTAACTTTCTTGAGGATGATACCTTCTTCTCAACTCAACTCTGCATGGCTTTCGAAAATATCTCTTGTAATAATACTCAATTTCTGTTACTAACAATTTGCATTTTTTTTGGACTCTGCTTCTTTAACTGACCGTGTATTTCTTGACTTTGCTAAAGCATTTATTAAAGTTAACCATTCACTGCTTTTACATAAACTAAGTGTGCTAAAAATTAACCCGGCAGCTTTTTACTGGATTCGTGCCTTTCTTTCTTCTTGTGTTCAATTTGTTAGCACTAACGACATTAATTTTAGCACTGCACCGGTTGGTTCTGGTGTTTCTCAAGGATCAGTACTTGGCCCTCTGCTATTCCTAATCTACATAAATGACTTAGCTACTACTGTTACTCCCAGAATTTGTGTTTCGCTGATGACTGTGTAATTTATCGTAAAATATCTAATGACAACAACATTTGTTCTCTACAAGCTGATCTCAATAACATACAGGAGACTTGTGATAATTCAAACTCTGATAGTTTATACTTTCAGTTAATTACAACAAACATCAATTTTTTGCTTGGCCCTTTATTCTTTCAATGTATTTAAAAGCCTCTTTCAAACTCCATCATTCGGTTGATTCATACTTTTTGCAGGTCCATACCAGAAAATATCAGCTGCTTTTTCACTACTATTTAAAAACGTGAGTGCTTACATAATCCTAACACTCTAAAATTGAAAAATAAGCACCTGAGGCCTTCAAAGAATATGGCTTTGCAATTAAATAAACATTTGAAACGAAGCACACGCATGGTAAACCGTGACGCTTTTCAATTGGTATAGAGAGCTTTACGCTGCAGGCACATACCTATAGCAATGAAGCAGTTGGCAATTCACGATTTCTTTAAAAGGTCTGATCAGCAGTAAATGACCAATAAACTTGTAGACTTTACACCTCTGCTTTCTGTTCACTGCGTGCAGTCAGGGCTTCAAAGCACTTCAAAATTTTTATATGTGATGAAATCAATGCCTAATCATAATGTGTGGTGTCATGTTACCCAGATTTATCTATCTGAGAACTTCTTGATAATTCAAACAAAACTTAGAGGTCGTTTCGAGTTTGAATTAACGATACTTGACTGTACTTCATTGGTGTCATATTTAGGAAATGGAACTAAATACTGAAAAATGGAAGTTTATTAGAGGTCACTTCGAGTTTTAATTAACGAGATTCGACTGATTGATTGATATGTGGGGTTTAACGTCCCAAAACCACTATATGATTATGAGAGACGCCGTAGTGGAGGGCTCCGGAAATATCAACCACCTGGGGTTCTTTAACGTGCACCCAAATCTGAGCACACGGGCCTGCAACATTTCCGCCTCCATCGGAAATGCAGCCGCCGCAGCCGGGATTCGAACCCGCGCCCTGCGGGTCAGCAGCCGAGTACCTTAGCCACTAGACCACCGCGGCGGGGCAACGAGATTCGACTGTACTTCATTGGTGTCATAATTGAAAAATGAAACTAAACACTAAAAAATAGAAGTCTATCAGGATTTCTCGGTCGAATGCAACTTGTCCTACTTACTTTCTTCATAGTGACCCCTTTGAAAGTGTAGCATCTTACGGGTACTTGGACGTCCACATAACTAGCACTCTGTCCAGGAAATTAACTACAGAACATAACATCCAAGACTAGCGAAACTCTGGGTTACCTTTGAAGGAACTTCCCTCTTGCTCCATCATCACTAAAATTATTAATATATACCACAAACATCTGGCCTCAAATAGAACACGCTGCATCTGCATGGGACTATCATCAGGTAACATTATCTCGCATGTAAGAATCCATTCAGAACCGTGCAGCTCGTTTCATTTTGGCTAATCACCATCAATCAGCTAGTGTCATTTAAATGAAAGCGTGTATAATCTTGATCTCCCTAGCTGTCTGCCAAGGTACAGTCACATTTGTCTGTTTCATCATTTTTTTATCACAATACGATCTTTTGTTCCCGATTAATCGAACCTGCTCTCTTCTCGTCATCGCAATCACCAACAAAAGGTCACAGTCCCCCACTGCCACACAGTAACAAATGCCCAATCATCTCCAAAGAACTCCTAATGATAAGAATTCCCTGCCTGCGTATGTAACAAGCATCTCTGACTCCACTATATTTAAGCATATTCTTAAAACAATAATTACCTAATTACCACCTCTTATGTTTTACTCAACAATTACTTTATATTGATTATTGCCTTCAGCCGTTATTAAAAATAAAAGTATTGTTTATTCCTTACTTTTTATCAAGTTTTATGAAGTTGTTAGTTGTACTCATTCTTATGCATCAATCAGTTGCTATACTTGTGTGACATGTGCTTTGTATTCCTAGTTTTTTATTGTTGTACATTGCCCGCTCCCCTCTGAAATGCACTCTGTACCCTGACGGTAAAAATAAAATAAATACCAAATATTTTTTGTACCGAATGTATCAAACATGCGAGTGTAAAAGAACCGCACGTCTTTTTTTAAACTATTAACCGGAACTGAATGAAACCATTGACAGGGTTTACCATCACATAATGCTCACTAGGGTATCTTTATATTGTGGTTAACTGGTTAATAATTAGGATCACTTATGCAAAGATGTGAGCACTATTCACTTTGCAGCCAAGTGTTTGCATTGTAGAAGACATTCCAAAATGATCAGTAACATTTTTTGTGTAATAGAAAGCTTGTATAAAATAAATTTTGTTAGGTAAGGTTGGACAACAAGTGATAACTGCAGACTGAGGTATACAAAGGCATGAAGTCACGTGGATACAGATAGAGCCATAATGACAAGAGGACACAGATAGGTAATTGATTGATTGATTAATATGTGGCATTTAATGTCCCAAAACCACCATATGGTTATGAGAGACGCCGTAGTGGAGAACTCCGGAAATATCGACCACCTGGGGTTCTTTAACGTGCACCCATATCTGAGCACACGGGCCTACAACATTTCCGCCTCCATCGGAAATGCAGCCACCGCAGCCGGAATTCGATCCCGCTACCTGCGGGTCAGCAGCCGAGTACCTTAGCCACTAGACCACCACGGCGGGGCATAGATAGGTAAGACTGACGAGAATCGATAAGAGAGATATACCTAAAAATAATAACAGACATGAAAGAAACATAACTCTAAACAAAATGATGATGTAAACACGTAAAGACTTTTGCCACGAAAGTCATCTTGGGAATCAATAAGGAACTCCATGGAGCTTTCCTTTCATTTGTGCTGTTCATACTACCAGTGTTGTACAAGCGAGTGTTTGAATTAAAGTGATATGTTTGTGTATGTGCCCATGCATGCAGATGCAAATTTCATTAACTTAATTAGGTATGCAAATGTCTACAGAAATACCCAAAATTTAGCAAACTATGAACATGTTCATAGGTGTTATAGGCATTGCCATAGCTACCAGTGTTTTGCTTTTAGGCAAAACTTCACTTTTTCTCTTTTCTCTCCTGACTTTTCTATTATTTTTTCACGGCGTTTCGGTTGGTTTATCGCAGTAATGTAGCAGTGATGGTGCTTGGCTGTTGACAAGAAGGTCGTGGGTTTAATCCCAACCGTGGCGGTCGTATTTCGATGGAGAGGAAATGCTAGAGACCGTGCACTGTGCGATGTCAGTGAGCATTAAAGAACACCAGATGATTGAAATTAATCATAATCATATCATGGTTTGTGATGTTAAATACCAGTTAACATTATTCCCTTTCTGTTCATTTTTTTTCATTGAGTTCATTCCATTCAAGCACTACAATCAGCATCATTTGAGGAACACACTCTCTCTATTACATGCTGAAAGCAACTGAAGAGCAGCTGCAATGAGGAAAGTCAGTATTAGTTATCACAGTTCTTAACTTTACAACTTCAACACTCCAGAAAGGTACTGAAAATGGTTGCAGTGTGTAAACTCAAAACTTTGTCTCTGTTACAAAGCAGATTGATAACATAGTGAAAATAATTTCGAGGATGGTTACCTAGAAATCCAGCACCGAGTGCACATCCAAGGGCCATCTTGGTGCCTATAACCAGGCCCACAGGACCCCCCAGGGTCAGGCCCACCAAAGCCCCTGTTAGTGGAAAGAAAGCTCTGCGCAGCATAGCTGCTCGTGCCAGGTGTGTTACGGCATGCTGCACTTGCTCATCAGCCTCTGTCACATTCGCTTGAATTGTCTCAACTTTTTCTCGCTGGGCCTGCGTGATACAAATGCAATTCACTAATGCATGATTGGCTACCCTTGTGGTCTGAAAGCAAGACAGACATGGAAATTGAATCTATGCTGCACATGCTTAAATAATGTACTCTAAAGGAATGCATGAATGACAAGAGAAAGACCTTAAGTGAATAATGAAGTGGTAATGCTCATTATAAATGCTTGACACCTCAAAGGGGCCCTGTAAGGCCCCTTTGAGGTGTCAAGTAGTCACGAAATGGACTCACTAAAGGAGCTTATTGCCTCACGAATTCACCGCTGCTAAAAAATTTTCAAATCTGCCCAGTACGAGCGGAGTTACGAAGATTTGTTGCACGTTGTAATTCTATTCTCTTTCTTTTAGTCCCGATAAAAATGGTACAAACTATGCAGAGAAGGATGGCACAACGAGAGAAAATATGCTGCGCACACCTCGTGACGAGCACTTTTTTTTTTAATGTGAGCATTTCAGTATGGTCGCGCGCACACACGGATAAGGCGCGGCCTTCTGCGGCTGCCCCAGTAACGACCGAGTGAACCATGCTCAAATCAGCGAATGACTGATACATTGGCTGTGAAGAATGATTTTTGAGCTTGTAGCGTCATTTGTTAATTGATAGAAGGGGAAATAATTTTTAGCTGACTGAGAAGTTATTGTGAATTACAGGCAACGTACTGTGATGAAATGTTTGGGTCCCGTATTTTTTGGAGCCTCGATTACCGTTCAGCAGAGTTTTGTGACCACGCTCAAAAATGTGTTGCAGGGCCCCTTTAAGTTAACCTGTGGTAATTTAACACATGTGCCAAAACTGACAATATGAAATCAGAATGACTGTGCCTTCTCAATGGACATGCCTCCATAAAAAAAATCTATGATTGAGTGCACTTATCACTTTATGTGCTATAATATGGCACCACCAATGAAACATAAAAGATTCACCCACAAAAATTTCCATAAAGCATGCTGCAGATGCTTAGAATGCAAAGAAATGAAAGGATTCAGATATGATCGAAATTACGACTGTTACAAGATCTCACAATCAAAAACACTTGTAAGGGATATGACTGCCCATAATACTGAGCACAAAGTGAAGTTTACAGAACTCAACAGAAACAGGATGAGTCCCAATACAAGCAGGCTCACAATACATAAAAAGCAAAAAAAAGAAAGGAACCTGAACTACACTGGTTCAACCAGCAAATTACAGCAAAAGAGAGTTTCAGACAAAGAGGCCATTGTTACCATTGAGACTATTAAAGACGATAGTCTTTTTTAGGGACCTTTGACCAAAAAATTTTGCTCTGTCTGTCTGTGCATTTGTCTGTTTGTCTACACTTAACGGCATCGGGTACTTGAAACCAACGTTTCTAGACTAGGTAAGTTGCAAAACTGAGCGATGTTGCGCGGCGCCGCCGCTGCCAGCAACAAATGTGGCGCTGCTGTCGCATCCGGATTCACTCACTGCATGCTCGCTCACAGAACACCTAGCTCACTCATGTCACTCCTGTAACCTCCATCACCTGTGCATGTTGCAGTGCGTCGATATCTGTGGAGGCTTCTTTCTCCGTGAACAGTTTTGTGCTTCAGCGTGCCCTGTTCTGCTTTGTATGTGTTGCGTGTTTTCATCATGCCCTGATGTTGCGTTCTCGGCTGTAGAGTAGCTACAGGAAATGAGAGACACCACGACATTTCTTTTGTGCCCACATGTACTTGAGCAGCGAGAGGTATGGAACCCCGCTATTGCTCGTGCGGATAAGAAACTGCTCAGCACCTCACGTGTGTGTGATATGCACTTTCATGAGAAGGACATCCTGAAGACTTTCACTCACGTCATATGGTAAGAAGGTACAAATCGTAAGAGGAAAGTGGGACCTCGTCGAAGGATGCGTTCCACGAATTTTCCCGAATTTGCCTGCATACCTTGCCCGCTTACCTTTGTCGCGGGGCCCGTGACGAAGAAGCAAAAGCTGCCTGATAGGAGTGGGGTATTTTCCAGAATATCATCGGCGAAAAAGAATAGACTATCTCCAAGCACTGAGCTCGAAGACAGTGAAATAAGCCTCGACATGCCGTCAACTAGTGGTGTCATTTCGCTTCAAGACATCGAAAACGTTTGTTTGCATGCTGGCGGAAAGTTGTTGAGAATGGCGAGACAAGACGTCTCGTGGTGTTTCTAGGGCTCAAAGAAAAAAAGAGCGCAATTTGTGGAGAAATGCGTTGTCGTCGCAGAAGACATGACAGTCACCATTAGCAGCCGTCACCATCGCTAAGCAGTCGCCTGGCAATGCAGATACCATAACCCAATGAGCCGAACTTCTGGAGGACATAGAAAAGCTGCTAGTGTGTTCATGTAGTCCCGATGCGTCAGCAGGCAGACTCGTGAGTAATGACTACGAAGTGCTCACCGATACCCCAAAGTGCGGTCTCTGCTCGAAGCTTTGGTCGCAGCTGTGTTAACAGGTTTCATTAGAGGAACTCCAGAAGAAGCAGAGGGAAGACGTGCTCAAGATAATGGCCACACGTGTAGCTTTTCGACGGTCTAAGTTGCTAAAGAATGTGACTGACATGAAAAAAAAAAAGCTGACATGAGATTGCGCCACATAGTTGCAATTTATTTTCAAGCCCGAAAAACACAGCCACAAAAGAGGATGCCAGACATTGTAATTGGGTTTTTCGTGTCTAAAAATCTATTGCGAACGTACACCAACTAGCAACTAACCGACAGACTCGTATGTTATGCTATATATATCAATCATTGTTTATTGTGGGCAGTTTAGAAAACCTTAATTATACTGTGTTTGCCTTACACTGCTAAATATTACGCAGTATTAAGTTTCTGCGGCAGCACAACAAATCTCGATATTTTACTGTTGGCAAAGCTTTTTCAGAACGGCCGCCACGGCATCTTGCCACGACGACTATGCGTTTTCGTCTGCTAGCGGAAGCTTGTTGCGCCGCCAGTGCCACCAAACCGGAAGGTGTCCCGGCGCCATGTGACGAGTAGTCTGTCGCGGGGAGTTTTGGAACTTACCTAGTCTAGAAACGTTGCTTGAAACGGCTGACCCCATCCGCAGCGCCCACCTATGTTGCACAAGGTTGAGCGTTCATGCTTGCGCAATTGTCAATTTAAAAGCAATTATTGCGCATGTCTGGGGCACCATAACAACACGTATATATTATGCATGTGCGTCTCTTACTAGAAAAGGCATACATAAGTAATTTTAAAGACCGTAGCACTTAACACGCTGCGCTGACCATGCTACGCTTGCACGGAAAGGCGAGTGTTTCCAACGCTTTGCTAAAACGAAATGGTCGTGGCACCTACCCGTCGCCTTGCGTTCTCCACCTTATCACCTCTGTGATGGGGGCGCACACCCGTCTCAGAGCCACAGGCCACGCGCTTTGTTTTCTAAGACAACTGCCCGATGGCGCTTATGTCTCACATGTAACGGGACTTGATGCGCTCCTTCGCCTCCGCTGCACGCTCGAGGCACTCTAACGCAGCGCCTCTAGAATACCATTCACCGATTTTCTTGCACAGAACATCAAATAAATGTCTTGTTCACTCTCTGCACATGCAAGACTATTGTCTTTCAACGACATTTGCAGATTACATGCAGATACGGGGACAATTTTTGAACAGTAGTTTTCAGTTCCTGTGAAAACTGCTTGCAGAACTTGTGCACACTCCGGAGTGGTTTCACGCACACACTAAACCATTGTTAGGTCAGCATCAGTGGCGTACAGCTTATGACGACTTATCTTTCTTCTCAAACAAATAATCAAACAAATAATCAAACAAATAAAAACTATGGGCTTCTACAAGCCAAAACAGTGATTTAATTGAGGCATAGAGTAGTGAAAGACATATGATTAAAGTGGTCCTCAAACACTTTTTTGAATAACCATGATATTAATTCACTAGAAGAGCTTATTGTCTCACAAATTCAATGCCGCAAAAACTTCAAGGATCCATCCAGTATGAGCGAAGGTACAAAGATTTGTCACACACTGCAATCGCTTTCTCTTTTCTCTCGTCCTAATGAAAGCGCTGGAAGCTAAGCAGGGAGGGACGGGAGGGGCAAACAAAATACGGCATGCACACTTCGTGACCTTGAGCACTTTTTCTTTTTTTTCTTTGAATATGCAATTTTTTTCAATGCGATCGTGTGTGCACGCGTGGACAAGTGACAGCCTCCTGCGGCGATTTCTGTAACGACCGAGTGCGCCATGTTCAAATCAGCCAAAGGCTACAAGCGATTTTTGATCGTCTTTCGTCATTTGTCAAGAGAAGAGAAAGCAATTTTTAGCTGACTTTGATATTTTATTGCGAATTCCAGGCTGCGTGCTGCGCTATAACATTTGGCTCGCGTGTTCTTGGGAGCCTCTACTACCGATCGGCAGGGTTTTCTGACCATGCTCAAAAAGTGTTACAGGGCCCCTTTAATATTGTCCACTTGCGGTTCGATAATGTGTACCAATCGCACTGCACACCAGGATTTGTGCACTTCGTTTTGCATTGGAACGTGGCTGCCATGGCCAGGATTTCATACGGCCCCATCATGCTTAGCAACATTGAGCCACCACTGAGCAACTATGATGGGTACCTATCGACTTATACAGGCAGTTTCAACAGTTGATTTGAAATCTGGAAGACAATTTGCATAGGTGTGCGAAGTTCCAAGCCAAAATGTTCAGTTGTTAACTTAAAGGACCAATTAGAAAGTTAAATTCACAGATTCAGAAAGTATTTTGAAGGAATACTGAAAAAAAGAATTATTTAAATTTTCTCTTAATTACATATGTTAGCTATAGATAATTTAACAATGATACAGTTCATCAATTTCTTTGATGCATTTCAAATGATCGAACACATAATGGCACATTAAATATGTACTCAAGGTGCAGTGTGGCTTCCTGACAGTATGTATATTGCAGTACACCATCAAAAATAGAAGTAATGATTTGTAGTGAAAAGGTGTGGAGGAGATAAGTAATGCTATCCAGGATTTGAAAACACTGTTGCCCAAAACAATGTATACTTACATAGACGAGGTCGCTGAAGTTGTGCATCAAATCATGCAGGTCATGTAGATCCTGAAATGACAAGCAAACAGATATATTAACCGATAAAAAATAAAAACTGTCGACTGCTAAGTTTACCAATCTATGAGGTGTTAGCAAATAGTTCCAGGCAAGACCAGAGCTAATATACATGTTACCACTGCATTTTAAAGCTATTTACAGCAGCTTTTATTTCAATTAAATGTAATGAAGTGTTTGCAGTAGTGAATTAAAAAAAAACACTTATTTTATATTGCTAAAAAAGTTTTAGCAGTACATAAATTTCTTGCTATTGCGCTTCACAAGCGCCAGTGAAAATGACAATGATGAGACATTTAAAACTGGAGGTCTGTGTTGGAGCTTTGGGTTGACATTTTGACAAGTGGACTTGTCTTTTTAAAAAAAAAAAAGGTTTTAGCCTTGAAAAAATACAAGTCCACTTGTCAAGACGTCCACTTCAGCACTCACCCCCTGATTACGAATTTATCATCGCAAGCTTTCATCATCCCCCTCCTTGCCCTTCTCTTGAAAATGAGAAAGTATGTTATGACATTACCCTCCTCAATGAATTCCATGACTTAGAAGCAGCTGTGTTGTCAGGAATATGTTCAATGTAAAGTTTCTTCTGTATCATGGAAACACTGTCTAGTGAGGGCCCGTCACCTTCGGGAACATGTGCAGGTATGACTCCACGTGAGGATATTTCAGGCTGACCAAAGAAGTCAACAGCAGGGCTAGCAGGCAAACATACTTCTGGAATGTTAAAAAAAATAAAGTAAGTAAAGCAACAATAAAAAAAGTAAGCAGCAATGAATAGCTCTGTAGAGCTATAAATTTACCTGTAAATGAGTGCACCTCTTGAAGTGTCGCCTCTGAAGCTGGTCGCACGAGACGTTTAAATTCTTGCAGATCATTTGGGTCTACCTGGTTACTTAGTGTTTCTAGCTCATAGAGCACAGCTTTAAGCTGCTTAACAGTAAGGGATGCTTTGATTTGCTCATCATGTAGTTTGTCCCACTGATTCAGTTTCTGGCACTGGAATAGAAATAAATATCATGATTCACTCAATTAGTACATAGCAACCTAAAAATGTTCTCTGAATATTAAAGAAATAAAAAATGTTCTACAATCTGAGCTCAGATTGACAGGCACTGCACAGATGGGAAGAATTATGCATATAACAATTGGAAAACAAGAGACATGAGCTTTAAGCTGTAAATAAGCAACACAGGAAGATGTAAGCTAGATAAGTTTTTGCATTGTCTGTCACAAAAAAAGCAATGCCACCAATTTTGCGAAATCTCACTACGAAAGACTAGGAGCACAGTGAGGGGTGTACACAGGCATACAGATTAGTCGAATAGGGCTTGGCATTGAAAGTGTCGACAATGTTTTCTTAGGCTAGTATAGGCATTGTTCACTGATGCACTGAGAAATGCTTGAGAGTGACCATCAATACTGCAAATCATCAATGCAGAGCCATTCAGCAAAAATGCTCGAACTTTCACCATTGTCTCATTCTTTAAGTTGAAATTGCCCATCTTCAAGTTGCAAAAATGTGCACATAAGCTGTTGCAGGTCCAATGAACCGAGAGTTCTTTACCTCGTCTAGCCTATTCAGTAAACATCAGTAACTCAGAATGCATTCAACACCTCTCGTCCTCATTTCAGGTAAATGTCATCAGACAACAAGCTTTTATACATAACAATGAGGTTCAGAACTACAATGTTGACTTTTATCAAAAAGAAAATCGACAGTTTTGCAGAAACAGCCTCAAAGACTTCCCCAGACATCATAAATTCCCCATGAACAGGCAGGCTATATGTAGTCAAATGAGTCTATAGTTACACTTCTGAATAAATGTTTTTACTGTCATATAGAAAAATAACGCATGTACTAATTCAATCAATATCCAAATCACATGGCACACTGCCTGGTTTGGTACAGTACTTTCAATAAGTGTTGTGCAACACAAGAGACGCAACTCTGAAACCACAATTCTTTATAATAATTATAGGTGCACTGCTTAATGTGCACAAAAATGTCAGAAAAGATGAACTTTCAAGTTTTTTATCTGAATACAGGTGTAAGGACAAAGAATTGAAATTACAAACTTTGATAAATAAACAGTGCATTACTGTAATAAAATTGGAGGCTACAACATATTTTTACTTCGCAACTTGTGTTCTTTGAATCCAGGTCATTGTATTTATATTTAACAGCAACAAGGTGTTGACCTTTCTGTGTAAATTTTCTCCATATGCTAATATTTCGCAGTAATATTGAAATGACTGCTTATATCACTATTTGACAGAATGCAGTCAAGGAAGGTCCATTTGTTATACAATTGTTGCTCCTCAATAACAGCAAGATGTAGTAAAGCACTCTGCAGCTTTTATATGGCTTTCAAGCATTCTGAGCACACACCCTCTTCATGAGCATTTTTTCAACTTTTATTATTATTTGAAAGAATGTAAACTTGTTGCGCCCTAAAAAGCAAAAAATATTAGCTTGTTTTTTTCTTTTTTCGCCAGGGCAGGGCATGGCAAGTATAAAATGAACATGAACATACTGCATAGCCCGGGCAATCTTTTGTAATTAGTTGGCAGGACACATGTATAAGACTGGATGGTGTTTGAAGTTTCAAAGCAAGACAACCACAGTGGTTGGCTCTAGGTGTTTTACTTGAATTGTCGTAACGCAAAAAGCTGACAGGCAAAATTTTCTACATTTGCTTGGCTACATCTACGCCTTGCGCTCATGCTAAGCCGCGACTGCATCGATGCGTTTTTATCACTTTTCAAGTTCACAAATGTACCCACATTTGTATGACCCAATATTTCAAGAAGAAACTGAAATAATTGTAATGTGTAATGTGCTAATGTGCAACTTCTTCGCAAAGAATCCTTCGTAAATTTGATGAAACTTGCAAGTCACGTAAACTACGTTGCAAATGCGTAATTCGTAACCAAGCCAGAGAAACAACGTCACTTCAAACGATTACAGCATCTACAATACACGTACACTTCAATAGATTACAAGGCTGTACGATGACATTATTGGTCAGCTACTCCTACGTATTGGTCGTTCTAAAGTTACTAGCACTTTTACTTCATTTCAGCAACTTTGGTGATCGTATGAGGTGCAAATTTACACCTTTGACATCGATCCTTATTACTTCCCCTCTGGCATAAGGTGTGAAATGCCACAGCTTTCGCAACTTAAGCCAGCACGCACACGGTTTAACTCTCACATAATTGAATACAAGCACATAAGAGTTTCGAGCGGATTAAAACCAACCTTCTCGATGATACTTCGCTGCTTCGAAAGAATGTCGAGGTGGTGCGGAATCGCTACTTTAGTGATTCGGTGAACTGCAAGCTTTACCCTCCTCAATGGAAACTTGACGCAAGGTTTCGTTGCGTATCCGTCACCAGAGCCACCTCTTGAATGAGAATCTACCATTGTGTCCGCTGCAACCTGATCGACCTAAGTAAATGGGTCGCTGTCTCTTGTCACACCCGGTCTCACTGTGAAGACGTCAACGAATGTCCACAATAACTAGTCACTTCCTCCTCTGTCCTAGAATGAGCGAACTGCGCGGAGTCATGCTCATTTAGGTTGACAAGATAAACATCACACGCGCGATTACGCGGTTACTCGATAATACACGGAACAGGACGTGACATAGACGTACCCCTCACATAAGGTATTTAGGAAAATAGCGACGTTCCCACGTTCTGCGGCGCTTTTTGCAGGCCTCACAAGATGGCGCCACCGTGTCATGTCGGTGGTCCAGTGAAAAACCAGGCGGGGCATTTGGTAACGGTTCAAACATGGTTAAGCTTTTTTGATCGAGTCACACAAACGACAGTGGCTACTCATGCGACGCAGGGACGAACCCTGCTCAGCCTAGATCGTGACTGCCAGACGTGGTGGGAGTGGCTGGCGGAGTGAGCCATCACAGCTTCGGGTATGGTAGTCCCGGACAATATGACATGCTCAATGTACTTGCGAAGGTTGAGAAATACAGTTTTTATAATCATAATTAAATTCCTGAAGCTGATACGGAAGAGCATCGAAACATACAAATGAAACGCATAAAGTAAACGACTGTGACTTGCGCAGTAAGAAAAATTACACCACGAAGGAATACCCACAAAGCAGATCGTTGCTCTGACACGGCGGGTCTGGAGGCACGTGCTCAATCAGAGAGCGCATGTTGCAGTCTGTAGAGCACTTGGAGCAACGATGTCAGAGCACGTTAAAGAATGCCGGATGGTAAAAATTTGCAGAGCTCTCATTACGGCACGTCTCATAATCATATCGTGGTTTTGGCACGTGAAACGCCAGATAGTAATGTAAAAGAAAGTCGTGGTCAATACATCCGCCATAGGAATCGGCATAACATGAAAGTAAGTTGGTATGTGAGGTTTAACGTGCCAAGACCACCATATGATTATGAGAGGCGCCGTAGTGGAGGGCTCCGGAAATTTCGACCACCTGGGGTTTTTTAACGTGCACCCAAATCTGAGCACACAGGCCTACAACATTTCCGCGTCCATCGGAAATGCAGTCGCCGCAGCCGGGATTCGATCCCGTGACCTGCTGGTGAGCAGCCGAGTACCTTAGCCACTAGACCACCACGGCGGGGTGTAATGCGAAAGTAAAACGTGTCTTTACAGAAGTAGCTGAATGTTTACCGTACATTGATATAAGAGAGCTTGCGCAATGCCTATTGGTGCTTGAAAGCTATATCGTATGCGTACGGACCCGCGTTAATGCTTGGTAGTACACCTCCATTCTGACGACTAACGCCCGTGGTCAATGATTAAACAAACCTTTGTGGTAGCTGTAGTAGTTAACGAGGAGAGCGTAATCAGAGGAAGCGTTGTTGTAGCTAGAAGGCGTCCCTGATGGGGTTCAGAACTTAGGCTAAGGTAGCCACCCTAATCCCGGTGCATGTTGCGATCGTACTCTGCGTAAAGTGGCGTCCTTTTGGCTATTTGAAATGGCATTCCGTCTTCTATTATCTATACCAACGACAACATGGATATTGAATGGGCTTCAATAACCCTCGACCACAAAAAACTTGCCCAAGGCGTATGCTATCGCTTACCCTCTACGTCACCCACCTTTTTTTTTTTTACTGAGCTGCACGATAATATTAAGCTTTTGCGCAGACGATTGCCTGCTTCAACAATCCAACTTGTGGGCGATTTCAATCTTCCAAACGCAACATGGGACTATCGTTTCGATTGCACGCTCCCTTTTCATCGCAAGCTAGTGGCTTTTTAGATTCGTGCTCTGTTTTTGTCCTTGTCACAGCTCGTAACTAAACCGACAAATGAATCAATCACCCAACATTGCAAACACCATTGACCAGGACACGACATCCAACCCTGGCATAATCTAAGAGATCATGCGCTGACCTGGTGTAACTGATGATTGCAGGCTAGCATATTCTACTAACGTTTCTACACCAAGAGCGAATAAACTGAAAAAAAAAAAAAACTATCATCACCATCAACCTGCCTACGCCCCACTACAGGGCAAAGATCATGATCCGCCAATCGACCCAGCGCCATGAGCTTACTGCTGCCACATTATTCATGCGAACCAGGGGCGTACCAACAATTTCGCAAGGGGGGGGGGGGGGCAAACCCAAATCATTCGCCAGGTGTTATATATATATATATATATATATATATATATATATATATATATATATATATATATATATATATATATATATATATATATATATATATATATATAATTAAGAATAAAGGAGCACACTTACGAAAATTTGATAATTGTTTACTCTACGTTTCGGCCGTGGCACGGCCTTCGTCAGGATTAACAGAAATACGAGTATGTGGCCGCTTTTATGGGCAGGCATGAAAACGTCAGTACAAAACACGTGCGATCAGCATGTGAGTATCACAAAAATTCTTTTAAACAGCCGTGACTACACTACAAACCATTAAAATCTAATACAATAGACAAGATTGTGGGCATGTAAAAGGCATTTTTAACATTCGCCATTGAGGACGAGGATCACGCATGAAAAAAATAAATATGTGATAACCTTTAGGAAGTATATTATACGTCAGGGATGCTTCTTTAAATATTTCTCAAAATTTCGGACGTCAGGGCATCGTAGAAAGGCATGACACTTTTCCTACGCATGAAGATGTTCGCATTATGCGAACATCTTCATGGGCATTCTAGAAAATAACTTTCTCGCCACTCGTGACCTTAAACCACTTTATTACAAACGCTTCATTGACGACATTTTCTTAATTTGGCACCATGGTGAAGCGGCATTACATTCTTTCATTGCAGACTTTAACAAAGTAGAACCATCCATCTCCTTTTCCCACTCTTATTCACCAGTCACCATAAACTTCCTTGACGTCAATGTAGCTTTAAGCAATGGTAAACTAACGACAAACCTATACAGGAAGCCCACTGACCGACAAAGATATCTTCATTTTAAAAGTAGCCATGTCAAACACTGCAAAACAAGTATCCCCTATAGCCAAGCTATCCGTTTTAAAAGAATTTGTTCGGACAACAGGGATTTCACTCGCAACTGTGACCAGCTCCGTAAAGTATTAACCGAACAACAATATCCTTCACAAATAATTGACGACGCTCTCCAACGGGCCAAATGTCTCGATCGGAAAGAGCTTATCAGTAAATACAAGCGATTAGCGCCACCTTCCCGAACCAACCTCGTTCTAACGCATTCTGCATCTATTCCTAACGTGTCGCATATACTCAGAAAGCATTACAACATACTGACACAGAGCGATCGGCTTAAGGACATCTTCACTGAATCACCACGGGTTGTATATCGGAGATCAAGGAAATTGTGCGACATGGTAACTTCTTCCAAGACTAGATTCGCCAGGTGTTATATATATATATATATATATATATATATATATATATATATATATATATATATATATATATATATATATATATATATATATATATATATATATATATATATATATATATATATATATATATATATATACACATATATATATACCTCCCCTTTGCGAACATACTGGCGAAAAGGTGATACTTACGGTGCGCATTTGTACAAAGAAACGCTATATTCAACTTCCCCAACCGTATGAGTAATTGGCACGAAATTCCTTGCAAGTGTTTAGCGGATACCACGCTTCACAGAAGAATGACGGAAAATAGCACAGTGAATGCCGGCTACTACCGCAAAAAATATTATTAATGCCCTGTAGTGGGTATCGAGCAAGTGTGCTTGCAGTATAGCTACCCAATGAGTGTTTTGAAAAGTCTCTGAAAGGCCGCTATTCTATAGCTTTCGCTGTGACTGTGATGCGCCTTCTGCACAGGCCTGCATTTTTTTATATTTTAAGATTAAGTTCAATTTCAAACAGTTAAAAAAAGGCCATGGGAGCGACAATTCAAGTGAGGTTGAGAGCTGATAGGCGCTTAAGTGGTATTCTACAGTGCTAAGAAAGTGCAACACTCGGCAGTTTTTTCTGACACCCGCTCAACGAAGGTAAGAAAAAAATAGGATCTTCACAGGCAACTACGAAAAGTTGCAGCACAAAACGGCAATTATCCCGATAAAAGATCGAGTTGGCATATCAAAACCAACTCATAATTGATAAGTTTTCAATCGAGAAACATTAATTTTTGAAGAAAAGCTCGTACAAGTTACGCATGGGGCGGGCGCACGTTTGGTGGACGCATTTCTCTAGGTTTGCCGGCGTGCATACCTACTTTGCTATATTCTGAGCATTTCTCAATCAGGTAATAGAAATGCTCAGAATATAACCAACCACTATACATGATACATAGCCTTCATAGATTTCGAGAAGGCGTTTGATTCAGTAGAAATATCAGCTGTCATGCAGACACTGCGGAATCAGGGCGTCGATGAAGTATATATAAACATCCTGGAAGAAATCTACAGGGGATCAACTGCTACCATAGTGCTTCATAAAGAAAGCAACAGAATACCAATCAAGAAGGGTGTAAGGCAAGGGGACACAATCTCCCCAATGCTATTTACCGCGTGCTTACAGGAGGTTTTCAGAAGCCTAGAATGGGAACAGTTAGGAATAAGAGTTAATGGAGAGTACCTTTGTAACCTGCGCTTCGCCGATGACATTGCATTGCTGAGTAACTCAGGGGACGAATTGCAACTCATGATTACGGAGTTAGACAAGGAGAGTAGAAAGGTGGGTCTTAAAATGAATCTGCAGAAAACGAAAGTAATGTACAACAGCCTCGGAAAAGAGCAGCGCTTCGAGATAGGTAATAGTGCACTTCAAGTTGTAAAAGACTATGTCTACTTAGGGCAGGTAATAACTGCGTAGCCGAACCACGAGATTGAAGTGACTAGAAGAATAAGAATGGGTGAAGCACATTTGGCAAGCACACTTAAATAATGACAGGTAGATTGCCACTACCCCTCAAGAGGAAGGTATATAACAGCTGTATCTTGCCTGTACTTAGCTACGGAGCAGAAACCCGGAGACTTACAAAGAAGGTTCAGCTTAAATTGAGGACGACGCAGTGAGCAATGGAAAGAAAAATGGTAGGTGTAACCTTAAGAGACAAGAAGAGAGCAGAGTGGATTAGGGAACAAACGGGGGTTAAGGATATCATAGCTGAAATCAAGAAGAAGAAATGGACATGGGCCGGGCATGTAGCGCGTAGACAGGATAACCGCTGGTCGTTGAGGGTATTTACTGGATTCCCAGAGAAGGCAAGCGGGTTAGGGGGAGACAGAAGGTTAGGTGGGCAGATGAGATTAAGAAGTTTGCGGGTATAAAT